CAGAGGAAAACTACCGACTGCCAAGGTTTGACGCCTAGGCAGTCGAGACCTCTTATTGAGACCCTTTATAATAATAATAAATACAACATTTATAAACCGCCTTATAGCTAAATCATATAACTCGATATAATTTAATCCTGGAGATAAACTCCAGTGCTTTCTAAAGCGGCTCTTACATTAACTGAGCTTAGTTTAATTGAAAATTAGACATGACAAGTTCATTTCACCTATGTAAATGCAAAATCAATCAAATGCTAGAGAAAAGAAGTATGTTTTAAGTTTGGTCTTGAAAGATGTAACTGACTCAGCTGATCTTATGTCGTATGGCAAGGAATTAAATACTTTAACTGCACAGTGACTAAAAGCTTTCTCTGTGTTTACATACCTTAGTTCCCAAAAATTTGTGTGCCATTATATTGAGCACAATTTATTTGAGCCCGAAAAATTTGGGCAGGAAATTTGAATTCATTTCGGCGACCGAAAATTTGGGCACAAATTCTTCGAAAAATGAACGATTTTCCACTAAAATTTCAGTTAGATATTTGCCTTAGTTCATTATTATTCCTTATTATTCCAGTCATTTTGCTTTAAATTTTAAGCATGTAGGTGGTAGTCTGAGTTGTTTCACATTATGAAATTTACGATCTGCCCAGATTTTACGGTCGACGATAATCCATTTGCAGATCTTGTTTAAATCTCTAGCTATCCGTACCTCTAGCCATTTGTTTTATTAGTAGCTGTTAGCTATTCCAGCTATTTCTATTCATTTAAAATATAAGCCTTTTTACTTGGTCAAGCCATGAATGACAGATTAGAAAACTAAAATTTCAAATATTATTTCACTTGGATATGAAGAAAAAGCCATCTTTCTATAGATTTCAGGGCCACAGGCCAAATGCCAAAAGTTTGGTTAGCAAAAAATTTAGCAGACGGAAAAGATTTATGCAATTAATTTGGTCTGCAAAAAATTTGGGCGAGAGGCCCGCTCAAATTTTTTGTCGCCCAAATTTTTGGGAATTAAGGTAGTTAGGAGAGGGCGGAAAACTAAGGTAAAAATAATCATTATCAAGACGTACATTTTTAAAACTTTGCTGCCTAGGAGATATCAACTCTTTTAAGTAAGGAGGAGCTATATTATTTAAACGCTAGTAGGCAAGTAGGGCAATCTTAAAATCTATTCTAAATCTAACTGGTAGAAAATGAACTTTCTTAAGTAGTGGAGTAGTGTGTGCCTTTCTTCCTCTCCCGAAAATAAATCTTACAGCAGAATTTTGCACCTTCTGTAAACGACTTAAATCATAAGAGCTCAGTCCAAAATATACGCTATTGCAATAATCAATTCTAGAGAGTACTAGAGCATGAACAAGCTGAATCTAAAGGTTAAAAGACAGTTTTGATGCAATAAACCACAAAGTTCTGATCTGAATATTACATGCTTGAACCACTGACGTAATCTGATCACTTATTGAAAGATAACTTATAAGATGTGCACTGGTCTCACCTAATGCCACGCACTGGTCTCACCTAATGCCTACTAGTCTCACCAGTAGGCATTATATATATCATATATCATCCTTTAATTTTGAGCACCGTTCAGCTGATTTAAACTCAGTAACTTTGTATTAGTGTTTCATATTTTTTTGTTTGAAAATCAAAAGGCTTTCAATGAAACAATGAGTTTTATTTTACATTCCTTTCATAGATAAAATAAGAGCTTAAACCACGAATTAGTCAACTAGAAGTAAACTTGAGGAAATATTTTTTAGTATAGTGGTTGAATATAATTATTTTTAAAACTTTATTTGTTAGTATTTTATTATGGAAAGTGGTTGAATTTAGTGAGACAAGGTCAGTTTCTCTATTGTCTCAGAAAAATTTCTACTTTGCAGTAGGCAATGATGAGTGGCAGGAATGACGGACCAAAACGCTTGGGCTAACAAGTTTAATCACAGTTTAACTGAATAATAAAAACTGAATAATTAATAACAAGGAGAGCACCCGTATATACTAAATATATACAGGGTGGGCCAAAAGTCAGTACCCATACATTGGATCTTATACCTCAGCTCCGCCTTAATGGGTGATACTCGTAAAATATCTGTTCCATGTATTGGACCGTCGACGAGTCCAACTCGGCGCGCATCCTGGTAGGTTGTAAACCTACAAAGCTCCGCCGTGTTTTATCATTTATATTTTAGAGTTGTTGCTTTGCAGTAAAATTTACTCCTGATCACACGTAATGAATAAACTCGTTATGCTTCATATCTAGGTTATCTGTTGCCACACTGTACACGTTGTATAACTCTCGTGAACGCCGGCCGCGCGCGATCAAAAAGTTTGCAACGTGTATCAAGTCATCTGAGAAGCTACAACTCCAATTTTTTTAGAATAAATGTAATTCGAAATATGGCTCAACTGAAAACACAATCCAATAAAATTTAGCTCGAATCTCGATCCGATTTGCTACATGTTGTATATTTGTAGTGTTACTGGGCCGCGCTCAGCCTGTCATTCCGCCAAATCTTTATTCGTTTATGAACATAATAGCCTGGGGTCCCTAGGTAATGAAAATCGAGCGCTACATAAATGACCGGCTGCGTTTAATCTATTGTTTTTCATTTTTATTATACTTTCATATTTATTAAATTGCTTCTCATTATTTTAGATTTTACTTGGGGACCCAAGGCTTTGTGTTATTGTTATGTTTGTAGACACACCAATTGGAGATATGGCGGAATGACAAGCTAAGCACCACTCAGTAATTTTCATAAATACAACTATAGACCATTATTGTGGGCAGAATATGCGTCTATGTTGAAGTGTTCTGGCATATAACTCATCTGAGTGACTGCATTAAAATAGTTTAAGGATAGTTCTCTTAAAACTTTAAGACAATAAGGATAATTACTAGGACCTACTAATATCAAAATAAAATGCAGCCACCTAAATTGTTGTTGTCTTCTCCTACGATTGAGTAGAGAGGTACCATCTTTGACGAGTATTATGAGTTTAGACCACTAAAATACTGTGCTTTAAGTTTGTGAGGTATGTGGACTAAGTGGGTTGAGAGTACTCGACTTGGAAGTGAGTGTTGAGAATTCTCAACTAAACTAAAGATAATAAGGTCCAGAATAGGAAAACAAGGAAAACAAATTTAAATTTTGGTATTTATTAATAACAATCAAAACATATCATATCATAAAAATAAAGCCGCGCGTTGGTTGACTGCCTCAGTAAGGTGAATAATATAAGCTCGAAGGTGCCCTGCGCATTTACAGAACCTCATGCGGCGATCACATGATCATGAGGACCTGTGAGTGCCAAATTTAATTTAAAGTTTTTAGAAATCATACATCACTACGAGTTACTCATGCTTTTTTAATTTTTATAGGAGTGTAGATTGTCAGGTATTTCATTCATTCATACTTAGTCGGTTTAAAGCTGTTATATTTATGTTTAGAACTCACTATTGTTTAAACTATGAAAGCAGAACGTAGGTAATGGACAATATACCGACGACAATACCAAGGACCCGAGTGCCACAATGACTTTTCCGGATCCGTTTTTACCGAGGGCTTATCCACCAGTTAATCATGCTGCATGTATAGTCTGATAATATTTATTTGTTTTATTCTATAACAAGCATTCTGTAAATTGGAGTGTCGTATTTATTATAAAAGAGCCAGCCAACCTCCGCATTATAATATGAGGCAGCAGAGCGAGTTGTAGAGGCTGAAGGGAAAGTAATGTCACAAGGAAATGGGCAAGGAGAGCTCTATAATACTCATATTTATGATAGTTCAATTTGTGCTAGAGAGCGGAAGGCAATGATGCACTAGTGGAATGCTCTTATTGGGTTTCTCTGTAGGAGCAGCTGTACAGTGGACAGGAGAAAATTCTGTTGTAGCTGTTGTCTAATACCTGGCAACTTGCCAGGTATTAGACTTGCCAGTGGCAAGTTGGACATTGAGGGTCGCAGTTGCTGGCCACCCTTGCCAGAAATACTGCAAAGGTGATGTCATGGCTGTGTAATATAAGAGTGTAATATAAGAGAGACATAACTTTGGTGTCTGTGCTTCTACTTGAGTAGCGAGGAAAGAACTTTTCGTCCTTTTTGCTCCTTTCATCAATGTTATCTAGGTAATCTTTTAGCCATATAGGAGCAGCATATAGAAGTTTTGTGAGAACTACTGTTCTGAAGAGCATTCTGAGCGAACTTGCATTCAGACCTCTGTGGCGGGTGATCCTGTGCCAATCAAACCAGCATTGTTTGAGTTTTAACTTTGTGTGACCCTTGCAGGTAAGCTTGTTGTCGATGCTTAGTCCAAGAACAGTTGATTTATATGTATATGTTATGGGTCGATTGTTGGTGTCGACCTATGAGTATTGGTGCAATCATAATACATTCAGTCTTGTTTTTATCACAGTTTGGGATTAACTTCCATTTACTGTACCAGACATGAAGGTATTTGCACATGAAGTCATGTGATCAAATTTTACACATCTGAACACAATTGAGACTTAATAAATAATAATATGAATCATCTAGGATGAAGCATGAATGATTCAATTTCTTGGCCTAATAAATGTGCTGATTGCAGATCAGCGCCTTTAAATTATTTTAATATCCGAAATTGATTTTTGAGTTAAATTATAATACCAATCATATACATATTTGCGTATTTGTGTGTGGATTTCATATTATTATAATTATACATTATTTGAGTAAATATTGACTGGCTTTACAGGCCATTCCCAAATCAATCACCCAGAGGGAAACTATATTGCAACAAAATATAAATTACAAATGGCTACGATGAAAGATAAAATCACTGATAGCATCTAGGTATTTTCTCTAATCGTGATTTTCACCATCCTTAGGCCGTTTAATCATAACCAAATTATCTTTTTAATTAAAAATCTTGGTTTTCCTACTTGTGTATCCTTAACACAAAAGGTATTTAGCTGTACTGTGATCTCATTAGAACTCTTTTGTACCTTATAACACTTAATTTAGGCATGATCAAGAAGGTTATATTCTTCTGTTTGCTGGTCACGCTGACTGTCATCTACTCATGTAAGTTTATTATAGACTAGTATCTGCATTAATTGTACGATATTATCTTATTGCACTGTATCTTTGATGATGTCACCTTTAAAGGGGGTATTACTAAAGTAGTACAAGTAGGTATTGGTGAGTAATTTACTGAAGTTCAGTAGATTACTCACCAACTGAACTTACTCAGTAACTGAACTTTCAAATTACATGATGAAACTAACACTTTATTTCCAGATGAGTTTAGAGGATACGACAAGTGCCACAGACAACTGACATGTTCTGACTGTATTGCGCACGATCCTCTTTGTAGCTGGTGCTCAGATTCTGTGAGTAGAAGATATTTTCTATTTTTAGATATATTTTAGATATTTTCTAGATATATGTTATTTTAATAGATATTTTATATCTTAGAAAATATTATATTATATTTTGTGATACATTTTATACTTATATTTCCCTACTTCGCCACATTTATTTTGTCCATTAAAATTCAATTTTAAACAGCTTAGTAATAATTCTGATTATCTTTTGAAAGCAATTAGCTATTATTAAAGTATTAAGTTATTTAATATCATGGGAATAAAAAATAAGTTTAAGGAATGTCGACCATTGTGGCGAATATAACATGTTATTCATTATTATGTACATGATAACTTATAAATAATAAGATTTGGTACGTCATGTACATGATAAAATATAAGTAATAAGATTTGTTGATCGTAAATAGCCAATAAATCTCACGGCACACTCTTATGTTACAGTATTTAATATTTATGTATTGGATAAATGTGCATTAAAATGTGTGCCGAAGAGGGACTTCACAAGATACAAAATCTTGTAATTGTGAACTGTCAAGTGACTTTTTAACACGTTCTCTGGGTGGCCCTGGATGACTATTCGAAGGCCTAAACCTCTAATCTGATACCAACCCTAACCCTTACCCAATCCCTAACTATAGCATATTCTGAAACCCTAACCCTAACGAGAAATTATACCAACGCCAGGGAAGCATTTTAACCCCATGGTATGTGGGGTAATTCGGAATTAGCATTCGAAAACACATTAATGGGTGATACTCGTAAAATATTTGTTCCAAAGACCGTCGACGATTCCAACTCGGCGCGCCGATTATAAACCTACAAAAAATACATTGAATCAAGTTGGTTTGATTAACTGTGGGGCCCTTTTATAAAAATCGAGTGTAGAGTGATTTAACACGCTCGGTCGCTCGAATCGATAAATAATTAATTTGATAATAAACACTATATTTTTATTCTTGTGGTGGCAAGAAGCATCAGGACCCATAAACAAAAATATTTTAGAAATTATCGCCACTATTGGCCAAGTCCAACATGCAACAGAATATGCCAACCAAATATGATAGCGAAATAAACAGAATTAACTGATGATAGGAATTTTAAGAAGCTTAAGTGTTAAGACTAAGAGCCCCTGTGCTCGGGACAATTAGTCGATTAAATGGTCCCCGTGCCGGCCTTATGAGTTGAGATCCAAAGTTTATTTTACGTATGTTCTTTTGTTGTGAAAATATTCCGTCTCTTGCGTTAATATTTATTTACTACGTATCTAATAATTCTCAAAGTCGAAGTACTTTGCCCTGACAGCGTCTGAGCGTCGTTAGTATAGTTTTTAATATAGTTAAGTTCAAAACGATAAATTATAAGTCAAAAAGCTCTTTTTTGTTGTAAAGGATCTGGATAGTTATGAAAATTGTAAACCATTATCTCACTGCAAAAGTAATTTGGATCAGGACGGTCTTGGTCTCTTCATGGTCACTTTTTAATCTGTTTTACACGTCATAGCTATTGACCTATTGTGTTAAAACTACACTAGCGTAATTATTTACGGTGATTACGTAATATGTGAACGACCCCTTAAATCATTAAGTCACCATTATTCGACAAAACTGGTATTCATAAGAAGTTATGGTCTTAAAGTAGCTGTAAGCTCATCATATATTTGGATATATTTATTGGTATTTACTATTTACAGTTCCCACACAACAAGTAGTCAAAATTAAGAAATAATTATGCCATATACCGGGTACATTGCACTCACTATGCAAGATTCTGATGAAGTATGAACTAATAATTTGCTGGGAATTATATGGCTGGATTTATTGTTTGTGATAATATCATTTTGAGCTGCATAATTTTTACAACGTATTGTATTATGTTAATTTGATGCTAATTACATGACCATTGTCCGACTTGATGCTTTTGTTTAAACTGATATAGTCTCGCCAAACTGACTACATCGCTATTCAATATATAAATATCAATTACGACAAGTTCATGTTTTTGCATAGTAGTGTATACAGTCTATCTCTAGTTTCGCCCTCGTGCTCCCTTGTTTTAGAAATAAATAATAAGTATACCTCATAAACTATTACTTAAACCTTTTATTTTCACCATTACCCAAACCATTTACATAAACCATTAACTTAAGCCTTTTTTAGGTATTGGCTGTAACTTAGTAAACCTATAAACTGTTATTGTGAAATACCTGCGTTATTCTTTACTTATAAACTTACTTTACAGTTTACTGGTCACCGTTATTCTGTATCATCTTACACTTTGTTACAAAATCATATGCAAAGTATCCGCAAAATACTGATGAAGTTTGTTTTTAAATATAACTTTAAAGAAAGAGATTATATTTAGATTATCTTTCCAGTAATAGCACAGTGAACATTCCTTTTTTCCCTCACAAGCAGTTGAAGCTAACACCTTTAACACCTTTAACACCTTTAACACCTTTAACACCTTTTAATTGCAGGGGGAAGAAGTGGACACACGGTGCAGGACCTTTTTCAATGGCACAACTGATGTGGAGTGCAAAGCTCTGACCTTCCCTCTAGGAGACGATGAAGCCTACCCCCAGTAAAAATGTAGTGTTGATCTGACAATTTAATGCTGTTGTACCGGGTTAAATTGAGGGTCAGCAAATTTCAAACGTACATCCAAGTGTTATAATCACATTTAAACCGCTATTCTGCGCTCGCTCATTTTTCTACTGCAGGTAGAATCAGTGTGATTAATTCAACAATCATTTTCTGCACTTGTATATAATACTGTATACCTCATACATTAATCACTGTTAATATCACTCCATTGTTGTATAATTCGTACAATAATCGAACTCACTTGTCAAAATCGTGCTTTCGATTATTGAACCAACATCACCAAAGGTGATATTACTTTAAGAATTGTTCTACAAGGGGGTAATATTATATACTGATTAATTTCCCACTGGTTTCCAACTTCCTGACGGGCTTAAAGATATTGTGTGATATTATAGCGCACATTAAGTTGTGCAAGCATAAACAGCAGCAACTTCTATAATCATGCATCAGACCGCATCAGAATCAGTCTACTGAATTATTAATGTGCTGTGACCAAATTTAAAATGAAACTCTACGGTTTAAATCTTTTGCCTTGTATCTTAATTTTATTAAACGATATAATGCTGACTTTACCAATAAAATTAAAACAAGTGCCACATGTCTCTTTAAACCCAAATCCCCGTGCAGGCTGATATTTTTATAATTCGTTCTAACCAGAGAAAGTTTAAATGTTAGAATATATTAAACAGTATAGTAAAAGTACTGAATATAATGTTTGTTATCCGACCCTATTTTAAGGGGTTTACATTTAGAGTGTACAGTGAGCTTTAGTTCATCTGACCATTAATTTAACTAACTCCACAACAACAAACTGGTCACGTGGTACAACTTACTTCTGAGTTCTCATGGTTGTCTCATTGAGAGCTGATTAGTGTGGACATTTTGTTCAGATAATTATGTAATTATGTGCTCTAGTTAACATGACTTAATTATCTCTAATTGCTGTAAAATAAGGAGACGTTTAGTTATTATTAGCGACTAAGGTTGTTAGGATGCTAGACTTGGCGAGAGAAGCATTGTTAGATTAAAACATGTTGTGCCAAGTTTAAAGTCACAGTTAAGATTAATTTGTAGTTGCGGAGATTATTCTGTAATAATTTTGTCTGAAGAATAAAATAGGTATGTGGTCACAAAACGTGGGAGCCAATTATAAACATCACGAAATAGCGCTCCCCTGTAAGTGTAAAGGCTTATAATAATGTGTCGTATTTCATCGTTCACAGATCATTGTTTCCAAGTCTGACTGCTAAGGAAATTTAGCAAAATGGTTACATTAATTAAATTTACAAGTTCATACTTCCATTTCCTGCTTTTATTAAGAAAGTTTGTCACATGGTTCTATTCTGGAGATGTGTACAAGTTACGAGATCAATACCCTGTATTGTAGCTCATTATAAACTACACAGTACACAGCTACAGTAGCAAAGGTTACAAATTTAAACTTACAGTTACTCATTTTATACTTCCATTTCCAGTACACAGTACACAGTACACAGTACACAGTATTGCTACCCACTACCCAGGTGCTTTGAAATGTGCTCTGATACTTTCCATAATGATCTACACTCAGCACTTATCATGAACTACATTCTTCACATACCATGATCTACACTGGTACACTAGCTGTTGTCAAGTAAACAGTACACTACAATACACTGCACCCTAATATACTCTAATATAATTCAATTCTACTCGGAAATCTGCCTCTCATCATCTTACACTCTCACAAATTGTATCAGTTTCATTTGTATTGGCTCCTACATGGTATGTAAGTGTGTGGAAACTTTAATCGTCTTTAACTTTATAACTTCCTGGCCGCTGGTTAACTTGGCAGTAAACTGGTGGGGACGGAAATTCATTATTATATCATAATGGTACAGTAATACCCTGATTTACCGCTCAGAGTTTGGAGAAAGGAGAAAGCTGCAGTAAATCGGGGTTTGCGGTAAACGGGTAAATCGGGATTCGGGGTTTGCGGTGAATCGGGGTTCTTATTGTTTACATTATGTAAGTTAGGGCCTATTTGGGGAAAGGAAATTTCCGCGGTAAATCAGGGTTTGCTCTGAATCGGCGCGCGGTATATCTGGGTTTTACTGTAAACTATAATAATATATACAATATAGTATATAATAATAATATGCTCTGATGGACGTATTATTGTAAGTTCTTCCGTTGGAAAAGCTAGTAAGCTTAACGAATCATTTTACACTCCAATTCACCTTTAATATATTATCACAGTTGAGCAGTTGGGATAATTCGAGCTATGAGTAGCTTTCAAATTTGATCATCGGAAAACCTCACCTTAAATTATAATGATGATCTTGAGATGTATACTTTAAGATGATTTAGTCATCAGAGCGAATCCAAATACTGGTACAATTGCCAGTAGAAACCGGTACAATTGCCAGTAGAATACAGTGAAACTAAGGGATCCTTTTACTCCCCTCCCGTCTCCTAGACTGTGGTGCTACTCACTCAGCCTAGAAAGATAACGGTTGCGCTACTCCGATGCCAATCGGACACTCGCCACATAGTATTTGTGTACTCAAAATTTGATATCATAGGTTTGTCCCAACTCCCAAGTGAAATAATTCATCTCAGATATATCTATTTAAGTAGACATTGTACATTGTACATAATATTGTACACATGTCTGATTGGATCGGGCGTGTCCTACCTTTAGGGGCTCTTTCTGCAAGACGTGCATTATCCATGTTTTTAAGATGGTTCAGTGCATACGTGCACAACTTGCACGTGCATAACTTGCACGTGCAATGTAAAACCACTTGACAGCGTGTAATACCACGTGACAGCGTGTAATACCACGTGACAGCGTGTAATACCACGTGACAGCGTGTAATACCACGTGACAGCGTGTAATACCACGTGACAGCCTGTAATACCACGTGACAGCCTGTAATACCACGTGACAGCAGACAGCGTGTAATGTACACTGTTCATTGTGTCTGAATCACTGGGTGCGGCTCTAACGTCGGTCTCTACAAACTCTTGTCAAAATTCGCTGTTAATTAGACTTTTGTTCTTCATGACAATACACACACGTTTGACATTATCCTGTTGTCCAAGCTGCGCCTTCAAGATTCAAGACGTAGAATATCTGATATTTATACAGCTGAAGACGATATAGTACACATGTATTTTGAAAGCTCCTGCTGAATAAGAAACCTTTCGTATAAATTATATGTTTTAAGAATCCCCCTCTTGATCTTGGTCTTATATTTATCATTGGAAGTAGCTGCTGTTGGTTTGTCTGGCACAAAATATGTTCGTCAGTCCTTATATTAAAGTCACTATTGTGACGGTACATTAGAACCAGACAGAAACAAAGGGCCTGAACAGAACCCCTCGGATTCCCAACATAAGGACACTGCTTTATCATTACTAAAAGTTAAACCCTGAATAGCAACTGAACAATATCACAGCGTATTTTTCGATGAGAATAAGTTCTAAGTTGTTATAATTTGAGCAATAATATTCTAATAACGAATGACTTTTTAAATATTGGCTATTTCAGATGAAACACTGCCAATTGCCATGCTGATTATAAGTTTGGTGTTATTAAACTTCAATATAATATTATTATTTCAATAATTACAAGTGTATCATTATGATCAATGTTTATTAAACAATGGTTCACAAGGGAATATGAACTAATCTGCATTAAATGTACTGTTTGAATAATAGATGTAATTAATACTGTTATTTGTAATTCGCCTACTGTAATTGTAATTTACCCATTTATTCCCTAGAGCTACTGCTTTATCATTACTAAAAGTTAAACGATGAATTATAACTGAACAAACAGTACTGTTCTTGAAGTAGAGCTAACATTTCGTCGCCAGTTTCTTCTGACACATCACGTTCCTGGAATTCTAAACAAACTGTGCGGTATTTTCATATCCAGGATAATCACTTCTCTTTCCTTCATTTTACTCTGAAGTGTTAATGTAAATTTCACATCAAAGTTATCCTACATAAGAGCTTAGAGCAGTTTATGCTGAACCTTCCAAAAACCTCAGTATGTGACCAGTGATCTTCACAAATGCAAATTCCTCAAAACTATTACCAGTCCAGATAAACAAATATATTGAAGCAGATGTTTAAAGAAAGCGGCCGGATCTAATGAGGCTTCTACACTGAGTGTACTTTAATACATTATATAATGTAGCCGCTCCTTCATACATCTAGTAATCATAATTTAATATATAGGTCAGATAGGTCAGATTTGCGGTGAATCAGTTAAACTGTAAGGGGTGTTATAATAACAACTAGTATACATGGTAACGAGTAATTATAGGCTTTCAGCACTTGCTGGAAGCTATAATATAATACCCTAACGTAATATGCTGTGTTGGTAAGTAACTTTCATACACTTGTCACTGGTTGTAGTTTAGAGTAAGATTCATGTAGATTTTAAGTATGATTCGTGTATATTAAAAGTAATATTCCTGAATATTTTATGTTACGTACATGGTAATGTAAAGTAATATTTAAAATCCAAAAAGAAATATGTAATGAAAATTCTAAAAGAACCCGCAGTGATAACCCATTAAAACACACACTCCTGATCGTGTAAGTCACGTATCTTTACAAGTCTATTAAAAGTATTTAAAATATTTAGAAGGGTCCCTTGTTTAGCAGGGTCCACTGTCAAGTGTCAGAATGTGATTTAATTATCTGTATGACCTGGAGATAACTGTGTCATCCTGTAACATACTGTGTAACATCATCCTGTAACATGCTGATAAGAAATACTGACAGCTCGAGGCTACTTCCTAAACATGTTGTAGTGGGGCGGCTAAACATTAAACAAGAATGTTAAATCAGATTTAAAAGTTTTAAATTTCACATCCTCGCTAGCGTGGAGGTTGTTTAACTTTTGGAGAACAGAGCGTACTAGAAATAGTCGTGCTTGGTCCTTGGATGGCTTGAATGTATCTTTTTTGGGTTTGTTTTTTACGTCGAAGCGCGGTATAGATACGAGCATTTAGTGATACATTTGAGGCCGAATATGCAGATATGGTTACAACGCGTTTTTCGATGAGAAAGACCATATTTTGTAGTAGTAACTAGTAAGTAGTAAGTAGTAACAATAAGTACTTCTTCCGTGATTTGAACTGTCATTATTTTGCATTCTCCTCGATTCTAAAAGTGCCACCATTACTTCTCCCTCCTAATTCTGGTATTTTACAGAATCCACATTCCACACCACGAACATATGATAGATGGAATATTTCAACACGTCACAATAATTGGGCACATATTTATACAATGGACAATGGTAACAGGATGTTATATCAAATATTAATTAAATTTGTAATATATAACAGTATTTTTAGTAGCACTACAATGTAATATTGCTATTAGAAATCATAAGACAAATGCTTTATTTACAGCTCAATTTGTCCCACCCAAAATATATTTAGATACTGACTCGTATCCAAATATAATTTGGTGGGACAAATATAATTTGGTGGGACAAATAAATGTTGTGAATACTGTATCATAGTTCCTTCTTCTTACGTGAGAAGTGGCACCTAGAAGTGAGCTGTTGTATAAGCTTTACAATGTCAAGTGGATGTAATAAAACAATTTAAATGAGGGGAATAAAACTTAGATAATTTGAAAATGTATTACTATATATTATGCAGAACAGTACTTTGAGTACATTAACACTACAAGTACATGATTTGAAAAATTTGCTAATATTATTTTTATTATTTTTACTACAAAGGATGCTCGAGAGAGAGAGCGGATGCAAGTGTTGGTTATAAAGTGGTACATTCTGTAAGAAATAACATTTCAACTCAGTCTCTCTCATCACATAATATGTGTTAGATTGGCATAATTTATGCTTATCAATATTATATTATTATGTGAGACACGGAATTGTAGCGTGTGAAATATGCTTGTATCGTTAGTGTTGGTCACGTACTCACCTATACAGAAGGTGATAATTTAATGACACTGATAATAATTCTCTATCACCAATATTATGTTATGCAAGTTTGGGCAAATTTCTTTGTGCCAAATTTGAGATATCACTTCAAACACAAGAAAATAGTGCTGTAGGACAAGATTCGCTGTCGGACAAAAGTCGTGTTACCTTCTAGGACACGGACAATAATTCTCTGACATCGATATTATATTATGTTGTGTAATCTAATGTTTTATAATCTAATGGAAAATATAGATGGTGATCAGAAGATGTGATGGCCCCGTCAAGTCTTGACGAAACTCAACATAGGTCACAAAGGTAGGTATATACTATATAGCTAGAGAGTAGAGACTGGTTATCTGTTGGAAAGTTATTCGATATTCTGTATATTCCGGATCTTCCCAATATAGTAACTCAGTAATGGCCCTCTCAGTGATATCCTAATGTTAAGTTATGTAACTCTTGTGCGTTGTGACGTCATGTAATAGTTTTATTTCGTTTTCTTGGACGGATAGCCGATAAAAGTGATCTTGTAGTTTGGTTATATAGGGTGAATAATAAATATTATATGGTGGAGTAATAATAACTTTCTTTAAGTTGCGTCATTAGGTTATTTAAGGAAGGGGTGGAGGAAAAAAAGGGTAGTATAAGTGATTACTGGGATACAATAAGGTGGGAATTGTCTCAATACATATTAACAGACCCCAATAGTCTTAAACGTACCACAGCACTGCATTTGAAATTATCTAGGAATGATTATTATGTCGTGCATTACGTATACAAATAGTCAGGAATCAGGATGAAAGAGTAGATTTTTTATGTTCGCTGGCACTAGGTTCATTCGATTATAGTATATTAGTATTACGAAAGAACAATATTGTCATATCTATCATCATTCATTACACGAACAATAAAATATTTACTTTCTTACAAAACTACCAAGACTAAAGACGGATATTACAATATTTCTTGACCGGAAAAAGTGGTATCAAAAATAGGTTTAAGTACTGTACCAGGACACTTTAGGCTGGACATTTTTGTAGATTATCAGATTAGGACATGTTTTTATTGTCCTCATTTGTGATACGTAATTTAATAACGATAAAGATGCCCTGGCTCATGTCAAATTATCGTTTTATAGGACATTTTGTTTAACAGGGTTACCTCATATAACAGATTACATCACTCTCAGAGGGCCCCGGAATTGAAGAAAGTGTACAATTTATTATCTCCTGACATTCGATACGGTTTGTGTCTGTTCAAGATGATATCTGGGGCGTTCATTGATTGATCTATGTTAAGATAATAACAAGATAAGTTAATCATGGTACATAGATAATGTAGATAACATAGATATGACCCAATAGCAATAGGTAAGACTTTCCTTATAGCTATTTGTAGTGCGCGACAAGGCTTCTAACATTATATACACCCTTCACAAAGGTCACACTGCAAAACCCTTACACTCCTGGTCACGTGTTACAATCCCACCAACCACAACTCCGGCTTCTCAACACGTGGGCAAAAAACTGTCGGGTGACTGGTGCAGCTGAAAGTTTTCTGGGCGGTCATTGGTTGACGGGGAGAGCTGCGTGTTGATGTGGGTGTTGACAGTTGAGTGTGGTCGTCATGATCACGTGATACAATCCCGGTGCTCTCATTGGCTGGCATGTTAAACAGCCTGCTCTATGATTGGGCTGAAGGTTTGTGTGTTGGAAGCTACGAGTGTTACACTACATAGACACTATATGAGGGTGGGCCGTGTGACACTGTGTGGCCAAGTCAAGTAAAATCATGGTGTGTAAGGCGTAGGGGTGACCTAGGTGTTAGGGAAACATATGTCGTGATATCATTCACCACCTTGACAAGTTTTTAGCTCACAGAGGCTTGTCAAAACCTGTGAGATTCCTACGTCGGGTGAAGCTTACTTTAGTGTAACAACGTCACTGCTGCTCATGTAAGCTTTCAATGAAATTTAGTAAGAGCAGAAGGAATTCTTGTTATAATGTTGAGCTTAGAGATTGTTCTCATTCGCATTTAATTGAATGAAATATCTTTTCAAACTTTAAAAAATAAATATCAATCAAATATTTTTCAACCAAGCTCTTTGAACAGAATGCAGCCAACAAGATAAGTGCAAAATATCTCATTCTACGTCTGTTTTGAAAATAATATTAAAAGGTGGTTACGTAAAAAAAGTTCGCGATTATTGGAAACTGAGATTTGGCTGATTTAGTAGCTTTTTAAACCTTATAATCCACATTTCCTCCAGATATTGAGCTGTTCATAATGAGGAATGAAATTATTCAGCTGCTTCAAATATGGGCTTATTAGAAACCTGCAAATTTTTCTTTTTACTTGAACTACGTAGTAGAAAAAGTTTTTCAATGAGAATTGAGCCCTCTTTCATGTTACGTGAGGGGATAGGTCACTGTATAATTACAAATTGTCCTTATAGTCAAATATGTCAACACATCTTTCTTATTTTAATAATTTTTCAGAAATCTGTCTGTTAAAACAGTAGTATTTAGTAATTAGTAATTAGCAATTAGTAATTAGTAATTAGTAATTAGTAATTAGTAATTAGTAATACAGTAGATCATTTCAAAGAAAAATGGAACATCGGTTTTATTGTAGTCTTATCAGTTCGCTAAACTAAACTATACAAAGCGATGACAATGATTACCAAATGTTTAAGAATAGTGCCAACGACGAATGTTCAGGATTAACAGTTATTAATATAAGGGACAGTCAATTAATGAAATCGGGAATTTTTAATTCATCAGTGTCAAGTGAACAAAATGATCCTTGAGATGAAGCACAGAGTGCGTCCTTTATTGTCATGGCTAAAGAAGTGCGGACAACCTCCTTATAGTAGTGCTTTACTTTGAATAAACCTATTAGATGAGTTTGGATGAGCCGAGCAATCTATTAAATACACATTAAGTGGGGAGGGGTCGTGCTTTTCAGTCATCTCAGATCCACTCTCAAGTCTCAACTGACACCATATAGTGTCCTCTAAAACTTAATTGCTTTTCTGAAACAGCCACCTTTCAATATTCAGTTACAAACCTGTCTACCATACAAGAAATGACAAAATGGCTAAAATAGTAGTCAGTTGATTAGGGGATTTCCTTGTTATACTCATTGTTCTTACCTCTACAATGTCACACGTTATTCGATATTGTTTAATTTTTCTATGATCTGCAACAACATGAGTCATCGGAGCAAAAATGTACCTGTGCATAAGAAGCGTGAAGACTACAAGTCTGAGAACAATATAAATGAAATCACTTCGAATAAAGGGAAAGGAAACGTGAAGAATAGGGTGCTTTTTTGTACGCCGCGACGTCCAAAATTCCTAGAGGGTAAATCCTTCAATCACTCAGTGGATTCACGGACCAACGCGCGCGCAGTTTTGAGATATCAATAACCGCGCTAAGACAGACTCCTTAGTCTAGATTGCGGATATTTTCCCACGCCACACACTGGTGATTCAGCTCTATTTGTTCAAAACTTGTTAACAGGATTGTGAAATGACGACAAAAACATTCAGGACGCAGATTTTGAGTCAATTGTGGACGGATCTATCATCCAGATTAAGCCTCAATCATTCTCAGCAGCTATAAGGAGAGGTAGGTAGCAGTGTAGCACACACAATTTAATAATTGAGGAATTCAAGACATTTTCAATGTACCGAGTCATTGTTCATATTATTGTCAAACAGATCGTTTTTTTCATGGTACTGTAGAGAGAATAAGACGAAGTTAGGTGTAAATCAAACATATTTAAAAGTTGTTTTTATGCTTCTTCAACTGTCTTTTCCAATTCTCTTAATATAGATATGATATTTTTATTTTTCCAGGTTCATCCGTGAAATTTACTGCAATGGTAGAGCCTGCTAAGAATTTCCCCCTGGATCTTTACTTCGTTATGGACCACTCTCATTCTATGAAGCCTACACTGGATACACTGAAGAATAGTGTGGACGCAATGAGTAAGAAATTCCGCTTCGATTACGTTATTTATCACAAATTCCACACACCCAAATACCAATATATTGAACAATTACCCGAGATGGAATGCATGCTCCTCTGAACTCTTCACAGGAATTTATGTTTAGATCGGGTTAGCTGCAATTCTGCGTATGCAAATAACCTCTGATCGCCCGAATGATTCGCAAACAAATCTGAGATGGGCTAGGATCTTGGATTTTGACGGCAGCGAACTAGATCTTTAGGATCTAAGTGGCTGTCGTTCAAATCTTTCCTAGCTTTCAGCCTCTCACAACCTTTGTATGCACTGTTTTCTGCACATGTAAGGTAAAGCGGTAAACTTTACGTTTAGTAACAACTTGAGCGAATTGCAGCGAATTCCCAAGAGATATGTAGACAGAGAATAGTGAGCAAGTTATCATGTAGCAATTGTAGCAAATGTAGCAAATGTAGCAAATGTAGCATTGTAGCTGTAGTTTACTAATACTACCTGAAGAGATTTCCTTTTTAAGTAAGATTTAAGACCAGTGGCGTAACTTAGGGCCCCGCAGACCCCGCTGTGCGGGGGGGGGGGGGGGGGCGCCGTATAAGGGGGGCGCAATTTTCCTGAATTTTAGGCCCTTTCACTGAAAAAACGCCTTGTTTGTGTATTTCCCTGTCCAATTTAGCGTTCGGTCGACGCGAAAAAAAATATTTGGGGTACCCTTTTTGCTTCAGGGGCGCAAAAAGCTGTAGGGGGGCGAGAAAAAAAGTACCCGACCTTTTTTTTTTTTTTTTTTTTTTTAGGGACACAAAAAATTTTAGGGGGGCGCTTTCCGTCACTGAGCGGGGGGGCGCCAACAGGCAAAGTTACGCCACTGTTTAAGACACACAAAAAACGACAACATTCCTTAAAATCAGGTCATGTACAATGTACTATGTATGAGAGTTAAGGGCGAGTTGTCAATTACCTAAGATAATCTGATTGTGTACTGATCGAGATTATTTTCAGGTGAAAAGTTGAAAAATTTGACGAACAATCATCGTATCGGGTTCGGTACATTCGTTGATAAAACTACCGCTCCTTACATTTACACTACAGAGGCCAGGTAGACATTTAACCATTTGGTTTGTTTTGGAGATGATGCCGGGGTATAATATATCCGTATTATACATGTGTTATATGTTATGTATACAATATACATGTGTGTAAGGATGCGAACGTAAACATAACCAAATAATGATTTACTTAGTGTAATATACAGTTATAAAAGGTTTTTACATTGTATAATATACAGTTATAAAAGGTTTTTCTGCCATCTTTTTCTGTCCTCGAGGCTGGAAACATGTGACAATTCAGTATCATGACCAGTCTTGTCAAGTATTTGAATCTGACCAGATACTTCAGGAAAAAGAACCCCTGCCAGACGCGAACTGACGGAAGTGGGGACGGTGGAACTTCGTGTCCTCCTGCGTATAACTTTAACAACACCGTCAGTCTGGACGAGTTCGAGCAGTTTAGTGTAAGTCATTGCTTTTACTAATACTGAGAGAGAGAGAGAGAGAGAGAGAGAGAGAGAGAGAGAGAGAGAGAGAGAGAGAGAGAGAGAGAGAGAGAGAGAGAGAGAGAGAGAGAGAGAGAGAGAGAGAGAGAGAGAGAGAGAGAGAGAGAGAGAGAGAGAGAGAGAGAGAGAGAGAGAGAGAGAGAGAGAGAGAGAGAGAGAGAGAGAGAGAGAGAGAGAGAGAGAGAGAGAGAGAGAGAGAGAGAGAGAGAGAGAGAGAGAGAGAGAGAGAGAGAGAGAGAGAGAGAGAGAGAGAGAGAGAGAGAGAGAGAGAGAGAGAGAGAGAGAGAGAGAGAGAGAGAGAGAGAGAGAGAGAGAGAGAGAGAGAGAGAGAGAGAGAGAGAGATTGTGGGTGCTTGAAATTATATCGTTCTAAGACTGCATTTTGAGGTTTTTATTCCCCACATCTCATCGTACCTCTTTCTTCAGACTCTCATTGAAGTGAGTGAAGTTTCAGCTTCAGTTGATCTTCCAGAGGCGGGTATGGATGCGCTCATGCAGGTATTGTAACACAGCCTGGTTCAGCATTTATAACTACATAATATTATGTAGTTATAACCACATATTATGTACTTTCAATTATATTATTAGTCTTAGAAGTAGGAAGTAACGAAGTTGGAAGCACTTACTTTTCATTAAGTCGGGACCATCTTCGCTACCTAATTTAGCGATTTATTTTAGTGCACAGAAGTTGTTGAAGATGATGATCTCTAAATAATTTATTTCGAGCTTTTCTGCATGAATCTACAAATCAAACACTGTGAAATGTTTTGTGGCCGCTTAACAGCATGTATGTTAATTAATGTATTGTGTATAATTACTAATTAATGTATTTGTTCAGGTTGCTGCGTGTAAAGATCCTATTGGCTGGAGAGATCATTCCAGAAAGGTTATCGTGTATCTCACAGATACAGGGCTTTCCATTTTCGCGTGAAAGATGGCAACTCGGAGGGGCAGGTAATATACTTCAATAAATTACTCTTATTTTGTACGTTGGTGGCTTTCTTTGCTGAATAGAGGCGCATTACATTATTACAACTTTACAATTAATTACTTTAACATTTTTCATGGGCAAGATCAGCTTATCTGTAATTTTCTATTTTTCTTAAAATTTTAATTCCATGCGGTTCGAGCCCGTTTACTATTGGTAGTGAGTAAATGAACCATCTTAGCTACCTGTGCACCAGATCACTGTAACGACATTCTTTTGCCCCTTCACAAATCCATATCACTGCGCAGGTTGAGCGAAATGACGGCGAATGTTGGTTGCTTGACAACAGAACTTATTCCAAAGAACAGATATTGGACTACCCTTCTATTCATCAGGTTAGTCTTCCTAGTGTCCTGCTTAACACAATACTTTTATATTTACAATTTCTCAGTTTCTGGTCCGTGGTACTTAATATTTTTCTGAAAATACCACCAAATGGTGAAAAATAAATTATAACGTGAAAATTGACGCTTCTCAATACTTTATTCATGCGGTTATCGATCTTGAATTTTCTGCGAATAGTAAATATTCAATTATGAACAATGATCAATAAAGAATCAGTCGATCAATATGTTGTTTGTTTGTTTGGGGACCAGCTTTTGGTACACTGTTAATGTTTATATAATATGAAATATTACATTAGAATAGTAAAAAATAGAAAGATAGGGAACATACCACTATAATCCCATAAAAATTGAAACACTGTACCGTTAGCACCACAACACCAAAAAGTTAAACTACTGGCAAAGTGTCCTCAGAAAAATAAAAAACCCTAAATATACCTAGCCTTGGTGAGACCTGCTTCGCGATTGCTATTCAGCGATGTGTGCTCCACAAGTCATCACATACCTGAGTTACAATCACGGTTGCAGTTTTTTAACTCACAATTAAAAGTTCCTCGTTATTAGCCGTAATCAACAAATACACGCAACAGCCATAAATAAGAGCCATACACTCATTTAAATCAAAGTAATTATGTAGATATCAAAAACACCGAATGTTACACCTTAACCTTATCTACACTGAAAATCTTGCCGTCTCTAATATAATGATACTTTGTTGGCTCATCAGTGATCATTTCCTTTACTTTGACAACAAGTTTCTGATGAGCTGCTCTCTCCTCCTTGCTTCTGTCAGGTGTGATGTACCATGTGTGGTACGCTGTACATTTAGATTTCTTCAGATTTCTTGCTCGAGCAAGAACCATTTTTACTGATTCCGCGCAAGCCAATGTCACTTTTATTGGTCTCGGTTTACCACTGCCTGAAGTTGTTTTAGTCCCGATAGAATTTGCTGCCACAACTTTAGGATCACACCCTGAGGATTCCCAAATCAATTCGATCACTTCTTCTGCCACTAAGTGGATCAGGGGAATAATTCTCCGGTACACTGTAGATAATGAAATTCTTACTACGGATGTCGTCTTCAACTACGGTTTTCACAGCTGTTTTTATACTGTTGATCGACGGAGTACTTGTAGTTGTCTCGCAGTTCTTCTTCACGATATCGCTCCACGCTGTCTTCATCTCGGTATGAACAGTTGTTTTAAAAGAGTCGAGTTGCTCCTGTTGCTGTTTAATCTGGTCTTTCTGATAGTTCAGCTGATCTGATTTAAGTTTGTCTATCGTACTGGCTGCACATTTACAAAGTTCAAGATTACTAGTCATTAGCTTAGAAAGATTTTCAACTGCAGTAGCCAAGGGATCTTTATTTACAGCCATTAATCTCGCATGATTCAGTTCTGTAACGCTTTGTGCTTTTGACATCTTCAAAATCTCATTCATCGCTGACGATAGCTCCTTTTCAAATCTGTTCAGATGTTCGACGGAAAAATCCATTTTACAAAAGCCAAGGCGTACAGCACGACGTGTCGGTGTAACAGCAAGTTGAGATAACACTACCGATAAGAGAGCAATTAAAATGTTGCAAAAGCTAGAATAAAAGATTGTAACTGATTAGCAGCAATAACAAACAATAATGACTTCATTAACCAATGATTAATCGATTAGGTGGTAAAAAAGATGGTAGAGAATCAGATGATTCCAATTTTCGGTGTGACCAGCAAAGTACTGGATCTGTACCGAGAGCTGAGAGCATTCTTCCCTTACGGTAGTGTGGGTGAACTGTCTGGTGATTCCTCTAACTTGGTCGATCTTATTGTTTCAGAGTACAGGGTGAGTTTTCTATAACCAGTTTATCCTTGCAAAGTTACTTTTACCTTTCTTATCAATAAATTTAATCTGGTCCCGATTCTCAAATGTTTTATCAAGATTGACGATTGTTAACGTAACGCCTCATTCCTTCAGTAAAATCGTTAAACACTTGTGTTTCAGAATATCAGTTCAAAGATATCCCCCAGACTTACGGAGTCAATCTCTGGTGTTAATGTTGAACATGTCGCTAAATGTCCCCGTAAGTGAAGGAACATTTTTATTCATTCAAAGAACTTTTTTATCCATTTTTAATTCAGAGGTGTTGTGTAATTATATAGTTTTTAACTATAATAATAATTTTAACTAATAAATATAGTTTTTTCACTTATTTTGCGTGTAGATTATTTTGTGTGGATACAAAATATTTATCTTCCGAGGATGGCCTAATCTCAAAACAGAGAAGGTACACATCATTCCACACAGTCGTCCATTTATTCCGTCAAATAGAACAAATTTTTTTCAGGAAATGATTACGAAGGTGTTACTAACGGTGACTGTGCTGATGTTGGTATTGATGAACATGCTCAATTCGAATTTACTGTAACAGCTGATGAATGTTTTTCTGCGCAGAAGGAATTGGTGAGGAACCACGATTTAATTTTCAACGTTCTTACTTTCGTTATGGAGTCGATTTGTGAATTTGATAAATTATAGCGTTTTTTAATTAGATTTGATTACAAGAAAACTCTTTACCGATTTTTGCCATCTGTTCTGATTCACGAATCAAGCTGCTATACAATATACTGTTACATCGATGAATTGATTGATTAATAAAATAACTGGAATAACAGCTTGATTCTTCAGACGATAGAGTTCACAGGTTTTGGTCGACTTACACTGAACTTAGATACTCTCTGTGAATGTGAATGTGCTTCAACTGAGGTAAATATTATACCAGTATTAGTAAACAAAATCATGTATTATACAAATTATAATCATATAATATAACGATTACCTATATTAATCGTACATCGTTCAACAAAAAGCCACAAATGTTTTGGGTAAAGTTTTGCAACGGTCGGAAAAGAAGACACAGACTTTGAAACTTGGTCCACATTTCTTCTGTACAATCAATGGATCACACGACACAAACCTTCGACACAAACCACGACGCAAAACATTTTACAGATTTTTGGCCAGATAATTTAAAATCCGCATTACATAGCTGTACTCTGTCAATATGTCCTTTTAACCGTAATCCTATTTAAATTTACCCAGGTAACAGAGGGTGTATGTTCTGGTAACGGGGTGGAACAGTGTGGAGCCTGTGTGTGTAATGATGGGTGGAGTGATGATCTTTGTAACTGCCCTGACGGTAATTACTAATTAGTAATTATATTATTAAATTATTACCAATAATAATTACTGATTATATTATTAGATTGCTGAAAATTGTTAGATTGCTGAACCTTTTCCAGTCCTCCTTATATCCCTAGAAATATAAGTGTTTAGTTTTAAACCTTTTAAACATCTAGATACCTTTACACACAGCATTTAACATTTTTTAAATTACTGTTATCATGTAATTATGAACCTTCTGCAAATTTATAAAATACCGATATAATTCCGAACTTACTAATGATAAAGCAGTAAAAATCATGATAAAATGTTGAGAATGTTGAGAATGTTAACTCCACTCATTGTTAAAATTGTTAACCTGTTAACTCCACTCTTCCCACCTAGGTAACCTCGGTAATCAGACCATGTGTAAGATGACCCCTGACGGTCGAATTTGTGGCGGTCCGTCCAAAGGAAAATGTCGATGTGGCGAGTGTGACTGTATACGTGAGTATTTTATTGAGCTTTGTGAGCTTGAAACGAAATAATGAGTTCCCTCTATCAGAAACTCAACATGGTGAGATGATAATAAAGTAAACAGTCACCTCTACATTCTACATTGAATATTCTAAATTGCCTCTCCATTTCAGCGCCCAACTACGGCCCGTTCTGCCAGTGTAACAACGAAGCAGAGCGACATTGTGATTGCAGTGGTAATGGTAACTGTATGTGTCCAGAGGGTACCGATAAATCCGTGTGTGTATGCGAGGAGGGATGGACAGGTAATAGCCCTTATTTCTTTGTATAATACTCAAAGATTGTACAAGCAGATTGAGAGTCGAATATTTCCTACATGAGTCATCATTTCATTTCATTTCATTTCATTTCATTTCATTTCATTTCATTTCATTTCATTTCATTTCATTTCATTTCATTTCATTTCATTTCATTTCATTTCATTTCATTTCGTTTCATTTCATTTCATTTCATTTCATTTCATTTCGTTTCGTTTCATTTCATTTCGCTCACTAAATAGTATTTAACTTCAGGAGACAAGTGTGAGTGTACAACTAACACGGAGACTTGCATGTTTAACGGGTTTGAGTGCGACGGTCATGGTACTTGCAACTGTGGTAAATGCGAGTGCGAGGATAACTACTCTGGTAAATATTTAACACATTTGAACACATTTAAACACATTTAACACACAAAATTTAACATTTTCTGAACAGTTTAAGTCAAGAATTTATCGATCAGTGTACTGCAGGGGAACGTCCATGCCATTATAATAGACCACGACCCTGCTAAACAATAATTTGAAATTGTATTTTCCCTCCAGGAAAGTTCTGTCAGCAGTGTGAGTTTTGTGACAAGTGTACGGAATTCGAGGAATGTGTTCTATGTGTAGTCGGAGACAGCGACACCGCTGGAAAAAACGCCGAGGACTGTGAT